CAATAATAATAGCGGAGCCTCAACATTGGATTTGCAGCGTTACGCATTCTAGCCATTCGCTCTGCAGCTGAAGTGAATGACAGCTTGGGAGCTCTCGTTGCTCGCTTTCTGTAGCCTATATCATTTTATTTTTAAGATTTATTTTTAATGCTTCTGTAAAGGACTAACGGCCGCATAGCCTATACACTGCAGAGTTTAAGGGAGACAATGGCACTTAACAGTAAAGTCCTATCTAAATATGTTCTTTTCATTTATGAAGATTTAAGTATGTAGTTTATGCACATTTGTTCAAAACAGCCTGGCAGATTGTTCACAAGATGTAGGCAAAAGTTTGTATTGTATACAGGAAGGATGCGCGTTCTTATCGTTCTTCTGTTGCGCTGCTTGTCTATTTCTCTTCATAGCACCAACTTAAAATGCCTATTTTGGTGTGATTGCTTGTGTTACATGAGAAAATGAATAATTTTGCCTTACTGATGCAGTAGCCTATTTAATGCGGGTGCGGTTCAGGTCGCGGGTCGGGTACAGAATTAAACTGGTGCTGGCTGCTGTCGGATAACGGGTCGTGTGTTCTGTTGTGTAGCTACTGCGGATGCAGGTTTACCTAACAGCACCCGTGCAGGACTCTGCTTTAAACTGCTTTGCGTCTCTCCGTCAGATAACCTCACGTGCATGATGCGCCATTTACGGGGGCTTATTTAAAATGAAAACTCATTCTCTGCCAGCAGGAGGCGCTTTTAGAGTGATACAACTGGTAATGTATATCGAAATATCGGAAATGTGTTTAAAAATCATATCACCGTTATTGAAAAAAATTATATCGCGATACATATTGATATCGAATTATTGTCCAGCCCTACGGGTAAGTAAAGAATGCTTCCATTTTTCCTGTCTCAAATAAGGAACATAAACTTTTAGTTTTGTAAGGTTGTGTTAGATAGAAAATGTCGTGTTCGTATTCCTTAATGTAAAGACCTCTGGTTACTCACCAATGACCTGACAATTTTTGCTTTCTCAAATTTGGAAGGGTTTGATGGAACAGTGCACATCTACAACACAATGAATTGGAGTACAGAGGGACAGAGCCCACAGCCAGTTTTTTCACACCGAGGTCATGAAATGTCACATGAAGCAAAATACAGTGGTTCCCTGCCTGTGGTTACCTCTCAATCTTGGCATCAGTCACGACCAAAAACTCTTCTCTCCGCAGCTACGGATGGATGTTTTCATGTATGGGACTGGGTGGATAAAATCACTGACAGATGATGTTGATGTTCATTAGATAATAGACAAAACTATTGTGTAATTATACAAGCATATCCTTTATTCATTTTAAACAGATTTGCATAATACTTTGCAGTCCGAGTACAATGTTTGTGAACTCATTATGTAATCTTAAACAATTGAAAAATAACATTGTCTGAATTTTGACAATGACCTTTAGCAAACTATATTATTACACTGTATTATTACACGGCTCTCTGGAATACTTGATTCTGATTGGTCAGTTGCTGCGTTCAGCAGTGTGATATTTCAACTCAAATCAAATTAGTTTGAGTAGCCGTGTAATCATCATAAAAATTAATATTGTAGCCTACCACCATTTCTACACCGGTCGCGAACAGCGCGACGGGACAAAAAAAAAAAAGAGAACATTAATATCACTGATGCTGGAAGCTGGATGGCGACAAATCCTCTACAGTAAACTGATGCCCCGGCCCGTTATATTTCTGACGTACTCCAGGACAACTTCCAACAACAGCCCATTCACATACAACTCTTTTCTTTTTTTTTGCATTGAAAAACGTGAAATGGAACGGAACAAAACGCAAGGTCTCAGGATGCACATGGTGTGTTCTGTTTAATTAGATTCCAGTTTCCGTATTTAAAAAGGAAAAAAAAAAGTTTCAGTCAGAGAATGTAATTGTGTATGTAATGTTATGAAGTTACCAATAAAATAAAGCTAAACTAATTAAAGTATGATTACTGTTTCCTACATATTGAATACCTCAGGTGAATGGAATAAAGTTTTTAAAAAGGAATATTTGAGAATTATTGGCATGCTAATAAGGAAAGCATATTGCTTGGTTATGATAATTTGCTGTTTGAATTAATGAATGCATTTATAACTTGAATTTTTTTAACATTCAGCAATTTTCATTAGTAAACAAATGAAACAGCAAAAAAAAAAATCAGTTCTTGCAGTATGAACTTGAACATTGCTATGGAGATTCCAGAGCGTCTTTGATTTTATATAATTTACAAGCTATCTCTTCAGTTTCTTTTTCCTGTCCACATTCCATGAGACAGGCAAAGTACTCTGTATTCTCACACTCAGCCAGATCCGAGTATCCACTTGGGCCATCATTGATTATGCCCTTAAGGTTCCATTGGTCTGGATCGCGTGGTGATTTATTCACATAGATTCCGAGATTCTTTCTCTCATTTTTATCGGTTGGATGAGAATAGAGCAAAGCATGGGAAGGAATATACAGCACACTACCTTGGCAACCCTTACCGGTCTCTATCAGCTTTTGCTTTTTTTGAGTTTTTTCAAAAGATTCTCCTCTACTGGTGCTTAGAGCTTCGACTCTGTAGCCGGATGTACTTCGAGCATTGCAGTACAGTAAGATATCATCCCTTTTATCTGTGATCTCAGCCATCTGACATTCATTAGACTCAAAATCCATATGTGTTCCTACTTGCCAAGTATGTCCTTTATCATCACTGTAAAATGTGACTGCATGTGATGTGGGCTCAACAAAGTAATACACACATGCTGGGATAATCAGTCTTTTGTCCTTCATTTGAATACCATGTCCTGGTCCAACAGCCAAGGTGGCCCAGTTTTTCTCCTTTTCACAGATCACATCTTTCAGTTCTGTAATAACACTCCAGTTTTTGAAGGTGTCCTGACTGGTTACATAACAAAGTCGTGCCTGGTTCTTTTTTGCTTTTATTTGATCATTTTCAGAGACCCCATCAGGAACACAAATGAAAAACAGAAAGAGGGTCTTGGATTCTCTCTCATAGACCGGACATGGATTCATGCTGCGGTGGTTTGGTAGACAAGCTGAAGAGAGCACCAGATGACCACTGTCCCACTGAAATAAAAATGATGACATCATGACAGTGTTCATGCCTTCTATAAACTAATGAATGCTAGATTGGGTAAAGAATTTATGAAATAGTGAAGTTGTAAGAAAACTGTCAGGAATAACCTTTTATGATTTTGGTTAAACATGTCTAGTACCTCAATTTTTTTCTTGTCATCCTCCCACAATCCTCTTCTCATCACAAGCTTGTCTGCATCTGTGTCACATGGTTTTTTCCGTTTTTCAGCGAAGGCAAGGTAGGTTTTATTTTCACTGATATAGATAAGAGCTGGAATTCTGTATGTCACCTGTCGTTTGCAAGAACACCAACTTGGCCAACAACACCAACTTGGCCAACAACACCAACTTGGCCAACAACACCAACTTGGCCAACAACACCAACCTAACCAACAACACCAAACTTGAGGCTGTTCCTGTTTGAATAATGTTTTAATGTCTGTTGGATCAAATGATGGTGTTTTGTCATCCATTGTTAAATGTAAGACCTAGAAATAGAATAAACAGTATCAGATATGAGACAAATTATCAAATTATACTTTTATTATTATAAAATTATAAAGAAAAAGAAAAAACAAAGATTAAATTGTTTTCTACCTTTTTTGTCTAATGGTTACATAATATTTTTAAAAATGATTTAAAAATGTGAGGATAAAAACAGTCAAGGAGTTTGCAGCACAGACAAGATTCGCTACTTCACAAGCAGGACAAAGTACAGGCACTCATGCCTCTTGTCCAAAAATGTCGATTTTTGCACTTGTTTGATTAATGTTTTTGTCGTTTTGTCTTTGAAAGACATTGCTTGAGATTCCAATGATCAAATCAAATGAAGTGAAATTTGCCATCAAATAATTTTAGACATTTTCTTAGAATTATCTTTATGCCTTTTAGCCATTTTGTAATTACTTTCAATTTTAAGAGGATGTATGAAGTCAGTTCCGGTAACTCAGAATGACTATTTTCAACAACTAAATGATTAAGTGCAATTTACTATGTGTTTATTTCAAACAGCACATTTAAGTTGAGCTAACTAATTTAACATTTCATGCAACTTGGAGTTTTAATCAACATAAATGAATTTGTCGTTAGATTAAATGAACGATTTTGCATGCATACTGATTGCCTTAAAAACAAGTGTTACTCCAGTAACTTAAGTACTTCAAACATCCATTATAAATGAATGAAAACAATGTTCCATTCAGCGCACATACAAATACACATACATTTATGGTAGTGACAGTTCAAAGTTAAAGGTAATGTCATGTTTATTGTTTTTCTACAACTGCCATTGTTCTTTTGCTATTTGTGGTTTACACCAACAATACAGTTTTAACTTTTTTGAAACAAAGCAAAAACAATCTGATTCAGGGTATGTTTCTTGTAAACAGTGGAGGTAGAAGTAGGATGAGTTTAAGTACGGCACTGGGGTGGCCGCACAAGTTGCCAATGGTCACTTTAGTTTTAGTTGTAGTTTTTTTTGCGGTCCCAATCAAGCATCACACTTTGAATGAACCTTTTTTTATGGCATTGGGGTGATCCAAATGTACCGTATGACAGTCCGAAAGCAAATGGTTTAGGTAGATTCTGGAGACTGTTATTTGCAATACTGCCTTAAACCATGATGTCAAAAGATACGGGGTTTAGAACATTTTTCATGGTGCAAATATTCATTTGTGGGTGAACTATATATATAATAATCATTAATCTTTATATAAATATCTTAATAATACACCAGCAAATATAAAGGAAACACAATTATGTGCTTCTCAAATATGTGTAACTATGAGACTTACAAAGCAGGTTAGTTGTAGAAGTATCTGGGGAAATCACAAAGTAAAACAGGTAGGCCTCAGATGGTTGTGCAGTGCTGTCAAATCTGGGTTCTAGAAGTAAAAAAAAA